TCATGTGGTAGATATAATGCAGAATCTTTGAATTCAGTGAAGTTAAATTATGTTTGTTTGCGGTACATATGTATGTTTGTTTGGGGGGGGGGGTATGAATGACCCCGTAAAAATGAGGTTGTGTTCCCACTCATCGGAAAGGTCTGAGAAGTTGTAATAGGTCTACCCCCTTTTTGTGTTCAAAATATATACAAAAGGTTTAATAAATCAATTTTTATTGTGGCTGTGGGCCCCTACACAGACTTGAAACTGCCACCCCCTTTCATAATTCCCGAATTCAACACTGCATGCACAATCTGATTATCATTAGTAATTTTTGTCTTTACGGACATTGACATTGGAAACCAATAGAAAGAGGGGGTGGCGGGGGGGGGGCAGTAAAAAAAATTCCTATAAACAACAGATTTGACAAACAACAAAAAGGGGGATATGTCCTGTGTCCATACACAAAAATCCTACTTCATGCGGGAAGGGGAGGGGGGCGAATTTCTTTTAGTACCATTTTTTTCCACGGAGGGTGTGTATGACTCATGATTATATAATAGTTTACAATAAATTTTTATTAGAAATGACTTTCACATCAGGAATATTGCTCTTTTATCTGATTTATAACGAATCTATGTTATTTGTTTGACAAAAATTTTCCGTTTTCCGTTCCGTTCCGCTTTCCGTTCCGCGTTTTAGCAACACCCACCATATTCTAGAAAGGGTCGAATAAAAGCAAAATAAACTTTTAGTTCTATCCACAGGTGCTTGAGGACAGGACCCCCCTCCCCCCCCCCCCCCGCAATATAGATCCCCGGGCCTGTTAGACTTTTTTCACATAAATTATATATGGATGACACATTTGTGATATAATCTATCCTATAAATTCAGAAAATTTGCTTAAACTTACAATTTATAAAAAATATCTACCCTCTCTATATATAATAGAACGTTTGTTTTAGGTCAGTAATTTTTCGATTCTTATCACAAATATGGCAATGAAATATTTTTAATATATTCGATCAGTGCATACTATTTATGCAAGATATATTACTGTATTCAGCGGCGGCTCACACAAATTGGTCCGACCAAAATAGTCCCATCATGATAAGTAGATAAAACATTATTGTTCATGATAAGAGTGAAGTTGTGTATGTCATACGTTATAAAAATCAAAAATAACGTCAAATTATTATCAGAAAATCACTTTCCCCCCGAAATGCAAATAAAAAATATCAATATTCCTACGCTCGCTCCTCCTCAGCCTTTTTTTTTTTTTTTTTTTTTTACATGTTTGATAACAGAGAATATTTAGGTCATTCTTCGATTCATATCTTTTCACCGATGAATTGATAATACTATATCAACAATTGTATTAAGTACATGTTTATAGTCCATTAATTATCATACAATTTCTTCTTAAAGAAAAAAAAATCATTCTGTGCGTGTGTTTTATTAAATGACGGAATTTTCCATCCCTGGCCGGATTCTGCTCGTGTGTACACTTGGTAAACTGTAGGGTATATAAAATATGTAGCAAAACGAGAACTGGGTCGGAGATTCGGGTTCGTGTTGAAGTCAGCATACCATTTTATACAGAACTTCAATTATGTAATTCTGCGACGATTGCATTAGCATGATTAGTATACTTCAGTAATTTTCAAAACAAAAACGTTTTCAGTTTAGAATTTTCCGACCCGGTCCTGATTTTCCTAACCCGGCCATTTTAAACACAAGTTGTTGCAGATGCAAATGATAGAACAAACTATAGTTCAACAGGGATTGTATAATTTTTATTAATCAGAATTCGTATTCATATGATCTAATTAAGAAAAGTTTTGTCTGCCATCGTAACTTCTCGGCAAAACAAAACGTGTTTCTCCGAGCTCGCTGGATGCGTTTGACTGCTCCATCGCACGTGTGTAGACCAAGGCTAATGTTGGTCTTGCGGACACAGGTATGTGTACTGTTTGTTAGGACACTGGGTGACCGTAATGCTACGGACTCACGAAATTTACACCAGTTCCATAATTAGACAGTGCACTTTTTTTTTTTTATTAAAGTCATTATAAACACTGTTATATTAAACATATTAAATCTAAAAGTCGAATATCTTTGGATATGGGGTAACCCATATCTATTCTTGTTTATGAGGAAATAATCGAAAAAGCCCAGGGGTCTATATCAAAGGGGGGAGGGTCCTGTCCTCAAGCACCTGTGCTTCTATCTAGCAGATGTTTCAACATTTTAATCTGTTAAAAGAATACTACCATTTCAGCCAAAATGGATAGGCAGATGGTTATTTATAATATGGCGTCTCCTTGGACTTATAGTGTGTAACACGTGGGCCTTCATAACCAACCAAATTACTCTGTCTCATATTCGATCGCTTCCGCGGTGTTATCAGTGTGTCGTTGTTGTTGCCTGGTTGTTCTGCGTAGGTAAGTTTTAGTAGAATTGAAAAATTAGGAAATTCCTTTGTTTACTTTCAGTTCTCAAATGATATTTTCTTCATCAATATTGACTGTTTTTATGTTAACTTTTAATGATATCTTGTGCAGTTGGTGAAGGTGAAACAAACTTTTACATATTTTTCTGGTTAAATTTGCATAATTTTACAGATCTGCAATTTAATTTTTTTTATCAGGATTAAGGTATGAAACTTTTGGAAAAACCTGTGAATTTTCACGTGTTTGTCATTTGGGTTTATGATGAGTATGTTCTAAATTTAGAATGATTCCACAAATCTATTTATAAAGTAGGAATTTTAGAGTTATTTTTAGAATCTTAAAAAAAGACTGTTCAACTGACAAGTGTAAGATTAACAAATGATAAATCGTTTTTACAGAGCTATCCCAGATAATTTATAATTGTCTTTTTTCAAATTAAATAGATTTACATATTTGTAACATTATGAAATCATTTAATAATTTTAAAAAAATCTAGCCTTCTAACCAATGTTATCAAAATTAAAAAAAAAACCTGATGAATATTAATGACCAGTATTACTGTTTTTCTCCATTTGCCAGTATGCCAATTATGCCATACCCTAATTCTAATTCAGTCATACAGACTCATACTTGTAATACTAATAGATCAGAGGTTGTAACTTAGATGCAGAGAGATATTTGCTATTACTATTAGAACATGTAGAAAGAATTTTGTATAATTTCATGGAATCTGTCATTTTAGATCTTCAACTTGCATATTTTGATATTTAGCATGACCATGTTCAAAAGTGTCTAATCAATTCAAACCTTGCTCTATTGGGAACATGACATGTAATTGTGACATTTTGTTTTATATATCTTAATACTTTTTTATTATGTCTCCTTATTGCAATTTTCAAATTCAAAAATTTCTTTTGAAAATATTTTTCATTTTCAATGACATTGAAGCCTTTCAGGCTTTTGATTTTTTAAGTCCACAGGGAAATTAATGGTTGGTAAAATTTCCCTTTCTTACCCTTAAAATTCACTAGCCTCGGGCACCGGGCAGCCCCAGTCTTAGCAAATCCAAAGACAAGCCCCTAGGTGGCTAGATAAATGTTATTTACTTCTATTAAAATTAATATTTTTTAAAATAATAAATCCATGACATTTATAAACACTATATTTTAAAATGAAATTATATGTAATTTATTTTTTACATAAAATGTCATGTCATTGATGTATAAAGTATCCACAGCCAACTTCTCTTATTTCCTCATTCTTAACAATTTGAATATGAGAAGTAGATATTACATGTATTTGTAGCATGCGTGTACTGAAGTGCTTCTCTTGTGGTGTCAAGTTCTGAAAAGTTAATGTAATAAATAAAAGTCAATATCATGCAGTATGCATTTACATGTACAAGCTAGCCTTCAATAGTAAATTATATTTAATTATTGCCAAAATATGAACACATTTTCATGCAGTCCGTTTTTCAGCTCAGTGAACAAAAATCTGAACAGTGCTGATAACTATATATAAGGAAATTATATGTATAATTATATACAAATTCTATTCAATTTGTATTTGAATAGAATTTCAATAAAAACAAATTTGGAATTCATAACTTACATGTGGAAAGAGTATTTAGTGAGTTTGCACATTGGTATCAATTTATCAAAACAAAATTATGATATGTTTTGAGGCGCTGGTCTACACAAAATGATAGAATTCATCCTTTCTTATTCTTTCTCATCAGCTATAGCTCGATACTTAACTAATTTATACTCACTTCAGGTACTATTTCAAAGTGCAAATATTGTCCAGAGAGCTGTCAATATTATTACAACCTAAACAAATTAAAGGGATAAAAGAGAGATAATGCATAATCTCTAATTTTCTTTCCAAAGATAGATCTTAACATAATTCTGATTGGCTCTGTCAAAGAGGGCGTATCAAAAAATATGTAATTGATAGTTGAATGATATCTTAAATAATAGGCCAATGTTAAATCAATGCAATACGTCAGGTGTTATTGTCGTGTGTATTCTTTAACATTTAAATACACAGTTTAATCAATTTATGTTTGTTATCGTTTACAAGCATAAAAAAGCAGCAATAATTTAAAGTGACACAATATCTGCAAGAATTTTTTTTCACCTGTATTTTTAAATACAAACATGATTACACAATATTCCCAAGTTGAAAAAATAAAACATTACGTGGTTACATGTATCAAACTATAAACATCAGTCTACTCTTATCATAATGATATCAAAATGAGAGGAAATGCATAGTTTAATCTTCCTTCTGTGAACTTGTGGAATAAGCGTAGAGTACATGTATTAATGAGCATGCATGACTGTACTAGAAAAAAAGAAGTGCAAAGAAAAAAATAGTGCAAAGAAAATATAAACAGTGAATGAGTATATCAATGCACCATGTAAAATTTAATAATTATTAATCAATCTATAAAGAAAGAGTATTTGTTTTTATCAATGTAAATTATAACAAAAGTGTTGTAATTAACAGATGAGAAAAAATCATTATGACATATGAATAATAATGACATTTTTTATTTTTTATAGATAATGAGATTTACTATAAATGAAAGATTTTTCAACATGTTCAATTTAAAGAAATAGTAGTCAGTAGACGTACAATGGCAATCTTTTCCATTTACTGGAACAAAGATTGTGCACTTTTTAAGGCTCTAAAAGAGGTATGATCAAATTATTTATATTGTATGCCCTTCCCCATGAAATGCATCTTTGCGAAGACCTTTCAACATACATTGTAAAAGAAAATGAAATTGTATAAAGTTGCAAAAAGTTTTGTGTAGATAAGTTAATAGATAAAAGGAAGTGGGGAAGTAAATTGATATCCTTTCAACTTCTAAAAATAAAATTGTATGTTCAACTATATGTAACTGAGTATAGAGCTCATGATTTTATAAATAAACTTTGAATGGGCTTTATATCTAAGTTGTAATTTGTTTTCAACATTAGTAAATTGATCTGTTAAATTGAAAAGACCATTAATAGCATGATTTAAAGGACCAATATCTCTTAATGGCTATTCTAAAAATAGTACATGTACATTTGTTTATCTCCTGACTATATATAGCTATTATGTCACTAGATCTATATAAACACTGTCATTAAGAGTTAAAATAAGCATATACTCAAACATGTTCAATAAAAAAAACCCATGTTCATGTAATGTTAGTGTCATGAATTGCTAGTAAATCAAAAGTGAAAGTGTGCAAGAAATTACTTGCATGTCTTTTCCATCCGAAAGAAAAACTATAGCTGAAGATAATTATAAAGACCTTAGTAAACATTATTCAAGGATACAAGAGCTGAACGAACTTGGTTGAAGCTGGGATATATTTTCTTGACAATTCTGTAAATATTATGGATATGTTGTACAGTGTACTTCAGTGTCCATATTATTAATTAACACAATACTGCAAAGTTAAAAGTGATGCAGGGACATACTTTTTAGATCGAATAAAATTCCCAACTTTTTTGAAAATTTCCAGATATTTTCTCAAGTGAATTTTATAAATTATTTTTATTTCCTTATATAGTCATGATAATACAAATTAAGTTTTGAAAAAAAAATGAATGTTTGATATTATGCATGTAAACTTAATTTTAATAAAGCATAGTTCATGTACATATGTATAGTACTGTATCAAATTGATAAATCAGTTTCAGATGTGTTAACTTTCCCCTTTTTTTAAAGGTTCAGCTTCTGAGACTGAAGAAAGACTTGTCAGTGAGTGGAATATGTGTACCTGCAAGACTGAGTAATTGGTGTTATCATATTGTGAGGTGTGTAATTTTTATACATGTACTGTCTTCGAAATTATTAGATCATATCCTTTTTCTCTGTGACTGTAGTTTAGTGGGGAGTATGTTGGAATCAGCATGCAAGTCTGTCTGTAGACGTGATATTGATCGGAACCTGTTCTTAAAGAATATTGCATGATATGCTGGGGTCATTATAGGGTTATCAGAGTTTGACATGGAAATACATGGGAAAACTTTAAAATATCTTGATCTCAAGAAGTCAGCAAAACCATTATCAGTCATATAGATTCCAAAGCATTCTCAGGTAGGGTAAAGTAATTGATATGTGTTCAAATCATGACTTCTTTGGGTAGGATTGGGCCAAAATGGGCAATCAAAGTTAGAATATAGGGGAGAAATAGTTTTAAAATGTTTAAGCCAAGAAGTCAGCCATAATTAATATACAGTTAAAGTATATCATTGAGGGAGTTGCCAAGATTCCAGTTCCCCAAGGCCAAGACTAATTTCCGAGGCGCAGCCGAAGGAAATAGTCATGTTCGAGGAGAACTGTAATCTTGTTAACTCCCTCAATAATATACTTTTTAACTGTTTTATCGTATCAATACAAAAGTAAAAAAAATAGAGGATTACTAATGATGGGGAGTTAGCTTTCGGAGCTGCTAGGATTAGCTCACTTGACTAACGCACAGGGATTAGTCCAATAACAACAAATTTTACATGTAATGTAGAATTATATATACATCATGATTATATAAGCATGCCATAATATTATTTCCTGATCATAAGATATATTTGAAATTGTTACTCTAACAGTGTCTTTCATAAAAAAAATCATTTTTTTCAGGACAATAGACAGCAAAGAACACAAAGACTCTGGATTCAAAAATTGGGAATGCTCTTATAATTCTATAAAGGAAAAAGATATTGTTCTTCTAATTTTGTTTGTAAGTAATGAACGTTGGTACATAATGTTTTATATGTGTGTGTTACATAGACTGGTATTCACTTGCCCATCTACCATTGAAACTGCACTCCCAGAAGAAGCATGCCAAAATAATGCAGGCTTTGAAAAATTGAAGGATGCCTCAGAATTTTGTGATACATCTGATAAAATCGGTGCTCAATGTCTCACTTGGAAATTAGAAGTGAATGACCAACTCTCCTGTTCATTTCACAGACACAGCATTGGATTAGAAAATTTTCTCAAGCAAAATACAATGTTGAAAATGAAACAGCTGTGCCCTGAAGCATGTATCAATAACAAAGGCATTGAAAAATATGAAAAAGCTTCAGAATTCCTTGATTTGATATGGTTCTCTGCTAATAAATTATCTTGCTTTACACAAAAAGCAAAATATTTACTGCCACTCTTATGCAAATTTGATAGACACTTCATAGTGTCAGAAAGTCCTTTTATTCAAAACCATTTTGTGTTGATAATGAAACAGACGACCTCTGAAATATTCCACCATAATGCAGTCATAAAAAAATTGGTGAAAGACTTAGAACACTGGAATAGGATATATTGTGATATTGATTTTCAGTTTTGCATTGGGAAATTGACAGCATTGTCCTCTTGTCCATTACATGCACACATCAGTCTATTGGAAAGTCCTTTTGACCAAAGCTATATTACGGCAATTGTAGAAAAGTTGAACACTAAAGTATTCATATTGGATTTCTTTGAAGTGAAACAGAGCAAAAAATTGCATCATTGTGAAACTGAGGCCAAAAGTATGCTGTTCAGATTGACAATTTTACTTTCATATTTTCTGCATATAACCAAAGATTGTAATTTGTCAGAAGAACTTTTTGGTGTTGCATTTTCTTCTTCCATTTTAATAATTTTACCTAATTCATTAATCAAAGGACTTTGCAACTCTGGATTGAAAATCAGTTTAAAATCAGAAGATGAAAGCCAGCAGTCACCAGATTTACTGGAGTACAACTGGAGGAAAAAATTGATCAAAACATATGTTAATGATTTCTTCAAAGAGCTCAGACAAATAGAGAGCAACGAGGCAAATGAAACCAAAGCTGAAATTTTGGGTGTAAAAAAGAATGAAAAAGGTGAGAAGAATAAGTCATTTGATGAACATGTTACAGAAAATATTTATGAGATATTAAGTCATGTGGAGATTCGCCATGATGAAATAGTGGCATACCCGGCAACACAACAGCCTGTGTTAGAGCCCATTCTCAACAAATTCTCTGTTCCTGAAAGGGCACCCTCCAAACATGACACCATGGCAGTTGAATTCTTGCGCCTCTGTACCATGCATGACTACCCTAACACTAATGGACCAAGTCTTCTAAGACTGGCCCAGGCCGGCTTCTTCTACGAGGGAAATGGAAACGAACTTGTCTGTTTCTCGTGTGATTTTCGAAAAGGAAGCTGGAATTATAATGATTCTCCCAGAGAAATTCACCTGAGGATGTCTCCAAACTGTAAATTCTTATCCCAAGGTGGTGATGGCAATGTTCCTGTGCCAAGAGGAGAGTCAACACAAGGTAATGACAAAAGCACTGAGCAATCCTCACAACACTTAAGTATGATTGGTGATATCATTCTTTTTATTCATTAAATTCATAATAGTTATTATCCAGCAACTTAATACTTGTACAAAGATGTCTTAATACTTGTTACAAAGATGCCTGTAAAGCTCATAAGTTGAAAATGGTGCATTCAGATTTTGCATATTTCGTTTAAATAGATGGTTTAAATAGAAACATGTTGTTTTCTATACAAAGAATAGAGAAAATTTCAACTGATGAGATTTCCAAGCAATAATATTTTGATTTACTTTCAGACCTTGTTCCCCTTCAGAGTGCTCCTCCGGTTGTGGAACCTGACGGTCCACGGGCAGGCTATAATGCCTCTACATCTAACAACACAGCTCACCTGGCTAGTGCTAATTATAGTGACGGACAGGACCAACCAGATACGACGAGACGTACAATGGTGGTAAAACACCCGGAGTACGCTAGCCGACCCGCCAGACTGGCCTCCTATGCTAATTTTCCACGTCACATGAAGCAGCATCCAGCTGATATGACAGATGCTGGATTTTATTACGCAGGTGAGTAAAAGTGGATTCTGGAAATAGTATCGAGATATTCTTTGCGTCAAAGGTAAACCAAGTTGAGGCTGTATAGTAAGAAAACACGAGGGAACCGAGAAAAACTTCTTTTTAAAATAAAAGTTATATTGTCATTTTGTTTCAAATTAGAAGATGCTTTAATATTACAATGTATTTCTATAAATATTTATTTATTTGTTATTCACAACTTTTTCAGGTTTTGGGGATTGTTGCAGATGCTATCATTGTGGAATAGGTAAGAAGTTAAAATGTGTCTGTTAAAAGATTTTGATGGATATTTATGGAAAGAGTTAAATTGAACTTTTAAAAGATTTTTTAAAATTGAATATTATCTTTGCCTTGAAACATTTCCTTGTACATTTTTACTCTAATATTTTTGTGCCATACTTAAGATGTATACATGTATTTCAATCAATGAAAAGTTTTGCAGACTTGCAGTTATTGGGTATAGTTGAGTAAAAATTCTGTGAACGAGGGTGATCCCTTGCACACCTATGCATTTAATACTCTAAGCTGCCATGCTTATTCTAAAAGTATTTAAATGTAGTTCACAGATACCTGGAATACAGTAGTAATACCTTGACATTAATTTGCTAAGGAAATTCTCTGGTATTTCTCTGTTGCCATGGTTATGAGCTCTGTTTACATATGCAATAAAGAGAAGCTTGGGTTAAAATATCGATTATTTTAGCTGGTAACATATATATATAAGTATTTATAAAACAAGTGTATAATATACATATGAACAAAATAAGTTGCCTTGGATATTAAAATTGAAAAAAATTGTATTTCGTAAATTTTGATTGACAAAAACAAAAAAATTCTAACAGTATGGACACGTATAACAAAGGAAATGTAGACAGTTTGGGTATACATGTACTAGTATTGATAATACTGCCACTGACAAAGCAAAGACATGTTATTAAAGAACATGTCATTAAAACAAATTAATATCATCAGGTCTAAGAAACTGGGACCCTGAGGACAATCCATGGATTGAGCATGCACGGTGGTCTATGGAATGTCCTTACATTCTAAAAATAAAAGGGCAGGCCTTTATTGACCTTGTGCAGGAAGCTGCCCGGGCAGCAGAAATGGCCCAAGATGATGAGGATAGTGAACCTGAGGGCGAAAGCGTAAGTGTAAATTTTATCTTGGATTGAACATGCATATTGGTCTATGGAATGTCCTTAAAAACTAAAAATTTATAGAGGATATTCAATGTGTTGTAGTTGAATACAGAATTTATTTCAAGAATGGGACAGGATTTTTTTTTATATTTTTTAGAGTGCGAAGCTCAAATGAAAACATAAAAAAAATCCTGTCCAACTCGTGAAGTAAATTCCATATTTAACTACAAAACATTGAATTTTCTGTTTATTACATTTTCTTTCATTTTTCCTTTGCCTCTGTTTTTTTTATAGAAATATTCATAATCCATCATTGCAAACCTTTACGAAAATGTACAATCCTCTCTCATTATGGCTGTGGTTGAATGAGAAGAGAATATTTTGTAGCTCATTAAAATATTGACACTTAAAGCATAGTTGGAAAATGAACTTTGATGCGACCTTTCAATACTTAATCACAGTTAATGAAATATTTTTTAAAATGATGGTGTCGTTGGCCAGTTTAATAGAGCGAACCTTTGCGAGCGCTTGCCAAAATTCCTTATATCTAATAGAAATGTTCGCAAGTGCTCACTCTGTTGAACAGTTCTCAGCTTTTGATTTGTAAACAAATTTTGTCATTGGCTGAACAAGATATCACAGCATACAGGCCTAAATATTCAAGCAATTATGACAATTTATGTGATAAAGCAGCCAGAAGATAACTATAAGAGGACTCTAAACCCTGGGTTGAGACGATGGTCATTGGCTAGATGATGTCATAGTTGAGCTGTTATACTAAGTGAAGTGAAAATATTGTTAACATGGATTTTAGCAAAATATTATTTGTTGTGGTAATTTTGGCTGCTTTATCCTCTGACAAAATAGTTTATTGCCTCTCCCCTTTCACGAAAGCGCGGGGATATTAAATCTTATTTATCTCTCCATCTGCCAGTCAATAAGCCTGTTACAAAAACTTTAATTTTGGTCATATTTTTTAAATGAGAAGAGATAGGACTTTCATATTGCATAATTATGTGTATTATCTGTGACAAAACCTTTGGAAATGCACTATGATTTTTGACCCCTTGACCTCGTCATCTCAAGCCACGGTCAGAGTCTGCATATAGCTCCTTCCTACCCATGGCTGCTTGATCAGGAAAAGTGTCGTAGTGGTAATCTTGAATATTTATGCCTCTATAATGTCATGTTCAGGGAATGACAAGTTTTGTTTCCATCACAATTGAAATCACCAATTGACATCAATAGTTTACTAAAATTATTTCTTAAACTGCATTTGGATATTGAAAGGTCACTGCAAAGTTCATTATCTGACTATGCTTTACTCGCATTGGTCAATATTTTAATGAGCTATGAAAAATTCTCCTTTCATTCAATCACAGCCAGAATGAGAGGATCGTACATTTTGGCCATGGTTTGTGACGATACCTTAGAGTTTGATCTACTTTTCAAAAATTTAACCATTACTTTAAATTGGCCAAGGTGAAGAGACAAGACTTTCATACTAAATATGTGTATTACCTGTGACAAGATCTTTCAAAATACAGTTTTTTTTACCGTATGACCTTGACCTTGAAGTTTGACTTACTTTTCTTAAACTTTAACCTTGGTCATAACTTTCGGATGAGAAGATTTAGGGTTTTCACATGTATATTACCTCTGACAAGACCTTTCTACATGAACACTATGATTTTTACCCCCTAACCTTGGTTTTTAGGTTTGACCAACTTTCACAGAAATGTTACTTTTTCCTCATAACTTTTGATTGAGAAGAGGCAGGTTTTCA